TTGATGAGAAGTGGGTGGCTATCATGGCTGAGACTGTTGGTTCGGTTAATTATCACATCTTACACGAGCAGCAGCAGTTTGGCCCAATCATTCCAGGAAGGGGGCTTTGGCAAGGAGATCCCTTATCTCCCTATTTTTATCTCTTTGTTGCCGAAGGTCTAAGTGCGCTAATTGATCATCAGATGGGGCAAGGATCGTTGCATGGGGTGTGTGTGGCTCGGGGAGCACCGGCGCTATCTCACCTTCTTTTTGCCGATGATTATTTTTTGTTTTGTAGGAGTATGGCGGAGGAGTGTGCTAAAATGAAATGGGTGCTGGATACGTTTTCCGCAGCATCTGGTCAACAGATTAACTATGATAAATCGGTGCTTTGTTTTAGCTCTAATGTCCAACAACATTCTAGGCATGAAATTGCTTCTGTCTTGGGGGTGAATGAGGGTGATACTACCGGCAAGTATCTGGGATTGCCGTCTTTAGTAGGTCGCAGGAAGAAGGAAATTCTGGGGTTTTTGAAGGAGAAAGTGTTGAGTAGAGTACGGAGTTGGAATGCAAAGTTTTTATCCTGTGCGGGTAGAGAGGTCCTCCTAAAAAATGTCATCCAGTCTATGCCCTTGTAACACCGCGAAATTTTAAAACTTTTGAGACTAATATAATAAAGGTAAATTCTCATTTAAATCCCAAAACATAATGTAAGAGTACGGGGTGCTATGCCACACCTGAGCTAGAGAACTCAGGCGCACAGGCTATTAACTAATATCCTCAATAGTGTCAATACATAAGCATGACACGCAGGCCGAAAGGGAAACTATCTACTCTACGCTCCGAATCTCTAGCGCGCTCCAGTGTCTACTCATCTGTGCCTGAAAGCCAAATATATCTGTTCAGCGAGAGATGCCGGTAACCCACTCCAACGCGTTGAAATACATTATATATATATATATATATATATATATATATATATATATATATATATATATATATATATATATATATATATATATATATATATATATATATACGAAAATCATTTTGAAGCAGGAAGATATATACTTAGGAGACACTAGTTTTAAAACCAGGAATAGACTCGACAGATAGGGATAAGCACATTCAACAGTTATAACCAAGCATATAAAGATACTAGCATATATCCTATGGTCACAAATTCACTTCATCTCATTCACGTCATCATTCAATTCTCGTCTCATCACACAAGCATACTTTGGTGGCGCCACAGGACCAATCGCAAGCCCATACATGAGGGTCAGCGCATATAGCTCTGACACGGCCCCGCAGCACCCTGCCTCGTATTGCGATACGAAGGGGTCGATCGCAACCGACCGATGAACCGCAGCTCATCATAATGTTTGATCGCAACCAAACAGTGGACCGCAGCCCAAGAGTAGTCATCTGACCGCAGCCAGGAATATGAACCGCAGCTCATGTAAAACGTTTGATCGCAACCAAACGGTGGACTGCAGCCCAAGAGTGTAATTCTGACTACAGCCAGCTTCTGAACCGCAACTCAGGAATAACCAATTTGATCACAACCAAATTGGGGTACCATGAACACATACACATAGCAAGCACATGCAACTCATATTAGCACATTGGGAAAGGGAAGAAAACGTATAAAGAAACCTATGCGTGGTCATCCACAAACTAGGAATAGTCCTAAGGGATTCATACTTCTTTCACCTAGGCCAACGGAATACCAATTCAACTAGCATGCGATATATAAGACTCATTTATCCTACGAACGGTACCTGAAACATCAAACTAGACTTAGGCACGATAAACGGAGTCCGTTGGGACACCACGAGGGTCGGGGAAACATCAAACGGGGAAGCCGGAGTCCCGGGTTGGACACATTCCAGCGGGTAGCCGGTGGGTGGCGGACCACCCGCCGGCGACGAGTCTCCGGGCAGCGGGTGCCCGGCGGGCAGTCGCCTGCCCGCTGCCGGCGATGCCCTTCTTGGGCAGCGGGTAGGTGGCGGGTCCCCCTACCCCCACCTACCCCCCACTGACTCTTTATCAAAATAAACGTCCCAGGATCCGTTGTGGAACCCGAAACCATGCTTAGACACTTTTAAACGCAATTGATGACATCATGTAGACAATTAACGGATGAAAAGCAAGAATCATATAACACATATCCTATCATGACTTCTAAACATAATCAACACCCGAACATGTGAAATCCCACCCAAATATATCAAGAATAACACAATACGAAATTCCCAATTTTAACCTAGGGCTCTAATCATATTCAAATCAATAAAATCATAGTTCATCTTTTAATTGCCAAAACGTCAAGATTTATCAAGAACATCACATAATCATCAAGAACCTCTTATCATCATCAAGATTATCAAGATCACACATAAAATCATCTCACAATCATCAAGAATATATCATCAATATCATAAACGATTCAGCAGGACACAAGTATAGAGAGGAGGCCAAAGAAGATAATTATAACAAGGAAAATAGGTTTTGTTGAGACATGTGTTACCTCTTAGCCTTTATTAATTTCCTTGGCTATGAAGGGTCTTTCTTTAAGATTCCTTCTTTCTTGATTTCTCCTAGGGGGATTCTTGGAACTTCTTGTGTGGTGAGAGATTATTGTTGTGTGGATTCTAGGTGCCTCCTATGCCCCCTATTTATATACCTAAGAGTCCCTAATTAGGGCTAGTTCTATTCCTTCTAGGACTAGGGGATTGGGTTTAGGGATAAGGGCCCATGGACTATGGCGGGCCTTTTCCCAATTAATTATTGGAATTTAGTCATTTCTTTTGGGTAAATGATTAAATGATTAATTGGTTTTAGGGGTCGTAACACGGGGTGTTACAGCCCTCATATGCCATGATGGTCTTTTTTCTCCCGACTGGTCTTTGTCGCGAGATTGAAACGCTCCTGAACGAGTACTGGTGGACGGGGTGTGTTGGGGGGGGGGGGGGGGGGGGGGGAGGGCTGCGTTGGAGAAGTTGGGAAGGTTTATGTAAGCCGAAGGGTAAAGGTGGCATGGGGTTCCGGAGGTTACGGGATATGAATCTATCACTACTGGGTAAACAAGCTTGGAGGCTGCTTACGCAACTGAACTCCCTTATGAGTCGAATATACAAAGCCCGTTACTTCCCTAATTCGACTTTTTTTGACGCTACGTTGGGGAGTAATCCATCGTTTATTTGGAGGGGGTTGGTGGAAGTCCAGGACATTTTGAAGCGGGGTTGTCGCCGGTGTATTGGTGATGGTAAATCAACGAGAATTGGCTGTGATCCCTGGCTGCCGGATGTTAGTAATCCCCATGTGGGTACGCAACTACATGAATCAGTAAGCATGGCTCCGGTTTCTTCCCTTATGAACGAACATGGCACAGCTTGGGATGTGGATTGTGTGGTGGATGTTTTTGAAGAGAGAGATGCCAACCTTATCTTAAGCATTCCGATTAGTTGCAGGAAACCACCAGATGCGTGGACTTTGCCGGCTGATAATAAGGGTAAATATACTGTCAAAACATGCTATAGACAGCTGATGGGGGAGGTTGTGGAGTCCAGGCCGTGGCAGAAGATATGGAATATGCAAGTGCCTCCCAAGGTAAGGAACTTTTGTTGGCAGCTGGCCTCTGAGTTACTGCCTACGAGGGATGCCCTTCTAACTAAACATGTTGCGTGTGCGTTATCATGTCACCTTTGCAGGCAGGTCGACGAGTCAACGTATCATTTGTTCGTAGACTGCTGCGAAGTGAGGGGTGTTTGGAGCTTGGTGGGGATTCCGGATGTGCCGCATGTTTATGGTAATACTGCTGACTGGTTCTTTAAGCTGGTTGGGTGTTTATCTGCTGATTCTTTGTGCAGGCTAGCAATGTTATGTTGGGGGGTTTGGAACAGCCGCAATGACAGTGTATGGAAAGGCCTCCCTTACATAAAAAACCAGATGATGCATTATGCTTTATCTTTTTGGGCTAATTGGAAGGTGGCAAATGATATGGATGACACTAATGTTACTGCTGTTTCTGGGCAGGAAGTTTGGGCACCTCCTACGCATGGCCGAGTTAAATTAAATACGGATGTGGCTTTGGATTCAACCAATAGAGTTATGGGGTTGGGTTGGATAATCAGGGATGAGCTTGGTCAGTTCGTTGCGGCAAAAGGAGCGAGAATGACAGGTTACTACTCAGTCCAGGAAGCCGAAGCATTCAGTATACGTGAGGCTCTGAGTTGGGTGAAGGACCTTGGGTACGAAAACATTGATGTGGAAACTGATTCACAACTATCTTATTACGCTATATTGTCTGATTCGTTTACTTCCTCTTTCGGTTTAGTTGTAGATGACATTAAACATTTTGCTTCCCAGATTCATGATGTAATCTTTTGTTTTGCTAGGCGATCTGCGAATCGCGCTGCCCATGCTATAGCAAAGGGGGCCGTTTCTTTGTCAGGTTGCGGGGAGTGGTTGATCTTCCCTCCTTTGTTTCTTGAGACTGTTATTGCTTTTGAGTTAATACATTAATCTTTGATCTTCAAAAAATTAAAAACCTAGATTCTCCACCTAAATAAAAATTAGAACCTACAATATTTTCTAAAATTCAAAATATATACACAATAATTTCTAAAATTCAACATATATACACAACAATTCCTAAATTGTGAAATATATAGAAAATAATTTATAAAATCAAAATATATACATAATAATTCATAAAATTTGAAATATATATATACTATAATTCTAAAAAATTCGAAATATATACACAATAATTTATGAAATTCAACATATATACACAATAATTTAAAAATTTAATGTGTGTATATATATATATATATATATATATATATATATATATATATATAATAATAATAATAATAATAATAATAATAATAATAATAATAATAATTCTGAAAATTCAAAATATATTAACAACTAATTCCAAATATATTAAAATAATTATTTTTACTTACCTCTTGCGGTGGCGGTGATGCGGCGGTGGCGGTGGCACAACAATGGCGGTGGTGCAAGGAATAGGTGCGGCGATGGTGGTTGTTGGTGCGAAGAGAATTGGCAATGGCGGTGGTTGTTGGTGCGACGACAATGAGGGAAAAAGATAATGGAAGAAGAAGAAGAAATGAAGAAGAGAAGCGATGGAAGAAGAAAAAAGAAATGAACAAGAGAAGAAGAGAAGAAAAGGCCGAAAAAGTTTATAAAGCGTAAGATGTTAGTTAAATCATTTAATCGACGTCGTATAAAAAAACTTTATACTATACGACGTAATAACTGACATCGTATGGTGTATTTATTTATTTTAAATTTTATATACGACGTCGGTTTTCGTACAAAACTGACGTTGTATATGAAATATTTAAAAAAAAAAAAAGTAATAACACCATACGAGGTCAGTTATGTAAATAATCGACGTCATATAATATAATTTTTTTAATTATTTCATATACGACGTCGGTTTTGTACAAAAATCGACACCGTGTATTAAAATTTTTTTAAAAAAACACTATACAACGTCGGTTATATAAATAACCGACGTCATATCGTATTAATTTTTTTTTATTTGTGATATACAACGTCGGGTTTTTATGAAAATTGACGTTAAATATTTTTTTTAAAAAAAAATATAATTTTATTAATCGTTTTGACGTAGGTTTGACAAAAAAGTCGACGTTATATGTGCCACGTTATAGTAATTTCTGTAATAGTGGAAGTCAGGTAAAAGTCTTGGTGGACTATTGCATCTGGGGGTGGAGACTCAGGGATAACCACCAGACTAGGATGCCTAGTAACTCACAACCACACATGTACTCCTGGTCAACCATTACATTTCTCACCAGTTTGCTACGTAGCTTAGGAAGTCAGAAAATCTAACTTAGACTAACTTTCCCACCAGTCAAAATCCTCCATTGTCAACAGTCGAAACCGTAACCACCAGTCAGCCAGCTATGTTCCACCATGGTAGCCCATTGGACCAAGGGGCTCCCACCCCTTGGCCCAAGCTCCCTGGCCCATGACCCAAGTCCATTAAAATCGAATTATTTTCTTAAGGTCTAATGTCGCACATACTTATTAATAGTGTTTTTTAGCTAGATATGTGTGGTATGGATCTAAGGTTTAGATGAATTAAATTTACAAATTGATATAAATTTAATTTTAGTTAACACACATTTGTAATGACTGATATTCTGCGGTTTGGGGCAAGAGTGAAGTTACGACTGGCCTAGTATGCCAACTAGCCTATAACTTGTAAGGCCAACTATGGACAAATGGACAATTAGACCAAATGTTAATTAGGATGTGAGTCTATGTAAATAAATGAAAAAGAAGGGGGCATAAATATAATTATCAGTATATTGTGAAAGCAAAGCATCCGACAAATGAAAGACCAAAATCTTGCAATCTGATTCTTGAAATCTTGTGAAAACAATAATTGGATGACAAGGCACAAATTGTGTGGTCAACCTATGACAAGTGGCATTTTTCGTTTTTTGTCGCATTCGTTTCATAATCATATCAAACTTTCAAAGTGAACTCAACTTTATTGTGTACTGTACGTTGTACATATATGTATAAATCCCCTAACCAAATGGCTTCAATTTTATTTAGTTACCCCTTTGCTTTCATAGTTTGATACCATAGTTAATTCTCAACATTCTCCTACACAAATTTACAAATATTATATAGTGATTTTCTTCTAATTTTTGTAGTCTGCAGCACGAAAGAAAGTCCGTGATATGAGAGTCATCTTTCACTAACTCGGCCACCCACTGCAATTTTAGTTGGTAAAGGATCACAAAAAGGCAAACTAACCTAGGTCACTCATAGCTGACCGTTTCAAACCAAGAAGGCCAATAGATCGCTTCCATTGAAAGTTAAATTTAAAACTTTGTAGGTATTAAGTTAATAGCTCGACCAATTTGGTTAGGAGTGCATCCTATGTTTAAAGTATTTGAATATGTAAGATGTGTGTGTTTTTTTAAAATATTTATTTAAAAATTGATATTTATGCTGATAAGAACAAATTAACTACTAACATTTTAATAATTCCATTAAATATACTATAAGTGTAATTTGTTGGCATGTATGTAAATTAAAATAATATGTATGGAACAGCGTGGGTTGAAAAGGGTGAGTTTGGTGTTTGTGCAATGAGTGGAGATCACAACATATGACTTGAGCCCCTAAGCTAGCTAGTTGCTGAATTAGATGCATTAGGCTACACCTTACCTACCCTAATCTACTCATTAATTAACATCTTAACAACCTTTGGCTTATGGAAATTATTATTATTATAATAATGTCCTAATTAACAAGTTGATTGTGACACAACATTCATTTGAGATAAGGATTATAGACATTAGCTTTATACATAATTATGCCCACACAAAATTCATGTTTGATAAAGTTTATGGCCCTGTTTGGTAAATGGCTGTTAGCTAATTGGATTAATTAGGAGTTATAACTAGTTGATAGCATTAGCTGATTGTAGAAAGATGTTTGGTAAATTAGCTGTTAACTGATAATTGTTTGCTATAATTTCTTTTCTAAAAAACTAATTGAAAAAGTTACTTTGAGTAGCTTTTTGAATTTTAGCATTTTGGAGCTACAAAAAGCTAATTAACTAAATACTTATATTGATTTTTGAATCAAGTCAAAAAGCTAATATTGGTCAAATAAGTCATATACTAATTATTTTACCAAATAGGACCATATATCTTTTTAATTTGTAGGTGATGAAAGAAATCTATAGCTCCTACATGTGAGTATGCATTGGGTAACTCTGTTTATATGTATCAACTAATTTTATCAAATATTATTCCTAATCATAGTAATTATCTTAATAGTTTTAAGTTTTAACTTTTTAATTTTCACCTAATTTTTAATAGTTACTCAAACAGAGCCAAAGTTTAGGTGTGGGTCCAGAGAGATACATTGATTTGGATCATTTTTTTGCGGTTGACTCTCTACTAAAACAGAGCGGTAACCCTTCAATTTCATGTCAATTCCTGCCCACTCACAACTATTGCACAGGAAAAGAAATATTTTTCTTTTCTAGTTAGGCAAATCTATATATGTATGTAACGAGTTGTAATAAGTATAATAATATATGGTCATTGTCTTAGACTTGTCAATTATTTCTAGAGGTTGAGGGTCGTGTATTGTTACGGAACCCCACCAAGCTTTCTCTTCTTCCAAAAGGTTGAATCCCTAATCTTAAGGATTCTCACACTCTGACATGACATAATATTTTGAAAAATGTAAACCACGGTGACTCAATGACTCAGCAGACATGACCAAATGTCGGTGCCTACAAGAGATCTTAAGAATAATAAATAGTTAACAAAATATTCTGTTATTAAAGTTTACACTGACAGAATGCAGTGATATTTATAAAAGTAAATGATATAATAGAGTGTAAAGTAGGAAAAAAAGAAATATTAAAATCAAAATAATATAAAACATTCATTTCAACAAACAATTACACTAACATTTTTTTAGTTCACGTTAGAAACTTAACTTTATTGATTCTTATTAAGTTTGTAGAAATCATATGGTTGCATTCATCCTAATTACACTTTGTACCTAATAATAAATTTGTGTAGGGAATTGAGCGAACCTAATAATAAATTTGTGTAGGGAATTGAGCGATAATTAGAGACTTAACTTTATTGATTCTTATTAAGTTTGTAGAAATCATATGGTTGCATTCATCCTAATTACACTTTGTACCTAATAATAAATTTGTGTAGGGAATTGAGCGATAATTTTTTTTTAAGTGCTACTGACTCTATTACAATGTAATATCTATTCATAGCACAAAGAGTCAATGCTACCTCCATTGGGGCTTGAACCTACTACCTTCACATAAGAGAGTAATTTAGTGCCACTTGATCACAAGGTCAGTGGTGAAATTAAACGATAAATTACTTCCTCTATCTTATTTTAATTTATATTTCTAGTTTAGTTAACAAGCTAAGGACACTCACCTCTCACCTAATCTGATACCAATTATTAGGGATCAAACGTGTACTATTACACTAAAAGTTATAGATAGTAGAAAAGACTCAACTTTAATTCAATATACTTGTATAACAATCAACGCCATGCACATTTCGATAGTAGGATGATAGACTGGCCCTTCAAGACTCCCACCCAACAATAAGATTTGAATTCAGATATTAATTAAATTAAACCTTGTTTAGCTTGTGGATGAATTGGATTAATTAAGTTCTTTGAAAGGAATTGAAGCAAGTTAATTGGCTTGAATTGTTAATCCAATTAATCTCAATGGGTTTAATTTGGCTTGGATTAATTGGTGCTCAACTGAATCTGATCTCTCTTCCTTTAACAAATAAAATATAGGCACCACTTAACGCTCTACACTTTATACACCCATTTTCTTCATTTGCATATATTCTTTCATCATGCATATATATATATGACTTCAAAGTTCTCTTTTATTTTTATTTTTTAATTATTTTTATTTTTTTATTATCTCATGTACCAATATTCAAGAACATCCCAAGGATATGATCTATTCAAATCCTCAGCATTCCAAAACAGGAAAGATTTTGGATTCCAACTTCACCTATAGGGAAGCTACAAACATGCATGCATCTTTAATTACTGCATCTACTAAGCTATATATATATATATATATATATATATATATATATATATATATATATATATATATATAGAAGAAAGTTCAAATGCGGCGGGGTCTTCCCGTGCGGTAGAATTTCAGAATACACCAGTGTTAACAATATGCACCAACAGTGTAAGGAAAACACACTACAATGAAATGCAATAAAACATCAAAAAATACACAACAGACCCAAAAAAATACACCATATAACTCACTATCCTCAGTGATGTATTTCCGAACAGTGTATGGTGTTTTTACTAGCTCACACCTAATAGTGTGTGTTTGGTGATGCGAACCTAATTTTCCTCTGTTTTTTGTGGTGTATTTTCCTAAAGTTGATGGTGTATATTCGTTGAACTATTGGTGATGCCGCACCGTCGCACCGTAAGACACCGCCGCACCTGAACTCGCCTCTATATATATATATA